TTTGTTACATAACACAACTCACTGAAGGCTGCAGTACAGTGTAAGGTGACCATCCTGGGGCTCAGTGGAAGACGACATGCTCATATGTCTCATATGGAGAGGGATCAGTGCCAGTAAATAGAAGTTGTCTTACCTATGTGTTTTATTAATAGGCCAGCATTTTACTCGCCAAACAAGTGTAGTTACCAAAACGTTGCTGCCGATTTTCTTCATATATATCATCAGTCTTCAATATCCATAACATTTGCCGCTCTTGTCCCTCCCATAAAAATTAATGGCCCCCACCTTCGAAAAAGTCATGCATATGTGCATTATCCACTTTGTCAGACACTGAGCATCTTACCAACTCTCAGTCTTCATCTGAAACATCAATATGCATCCCACAAGCTCATCTTTTTGTTCTCTTTTTTGTCTACCTTTGATAAGACATTCCCAAGATGACCCCAAACGGCTTTGAAGATCTGCAAACAGTATTTCTTGTTTTAGTACCTCACTGGCAGCACAACACTCACTCACTTAACGACATCTGTCAAGTGTCTAATGAGCTGTCCTGGATCATCCTGAGCTACACGTATACAGACGCACGTATGGCTAAAATGTCCAGCCTGCCATTTGCTGGATAAAATTACACTGCAGAAATAGTACCAGCGATGTGTCTGTTTAAAGAACTCATTTTCAGTCCTGTCGGTTGTGTTAATGCTGCTGACTGACTGCGTCGTTCTGAGTGGGTGAAACTGGAAAGCAAGGCTAGACCACGCTTCACATCGTGAGTGTTTCTGAGTTAAATTTTTTCGAGACTAACGTGGTTGTTGGTCTTGATTTACCTGTGATGTTGTACCTTGACTTTTACTGAGAACTGCACGAGATTGCTGTGGCCTTATGGGACTTTGTTCCACTTTTTAAAAGTCCAGAGAAAGCCTGGTAGTGCTTTACTTTATGGGTGTGTGATTTACCTAATGGTTTCCAAAGGCAAATACTCCCGTGCTTATGCTAGCAATTAATTGGAGTTAGTTCACTGGAAGTCCACCAGTTGAGCATCCTCTTTGCTTTTCATATTCTGACTTCCATATTACAGATTTCTATCCAGGGTGCTTCTTGGGAATTATTTGAAAGTCTACAGAAAATTAAAGACCCTTTAACATTTTATGTGGTGATTTGAGAACTGTGTTTGTGAGCTGTAACAGTCTCCTCATTTGCTTTGGATACGCAAAGACTTTCTCTAACTTTGTTGTTTGAAATGTATGAAAAGTTTGACTGAGAGCAGCAGACAAATAAGTCAAACAGCCACATCTGTTTGTAAAGGAAATGACCCCATGAATACAGTTTATTAGCAAAAGGAGCATGGTTTTGAGTGTGATTTTGCTTTTTGAATTATTGAAAGTGGTTTTTAAGCAGTTTTCAGGGTCATGGTTATATTTGGAGTTGTTCAGATTTCTCTTCAATTATTTGTCTCTAATGACCCCTGCCTTGATCAAACCAAAGTATCTCACTGGTTAACAAAATTCAGGATGTTGAAAGTGTGGACCGTGTTTTTTGCGGTGTACGTGAATGACATTAGCTGATAGGAAGTAAACATGGACCAAAGCTGTTGCCTAGCAATGCAATTGAAATTAATTGGTCTATTAAAAAAACACAAGAAAACTCATTGACACCATGCAATGGAAAATAAAATGTCACGCCAGGGACAGTTTAGCGCGTATTACCAAACATTCACCACCGTTGACAGGAACAACGTGTAACTGACATGACAGATTATACAGTACGAGGGTGTGTTGCCAGGTGACAAATGTGCAGCACAAAACAGTGATTATATGGGTGGAAAAAATGGCAACAATATGAGACTCCACGATGAGCCTTCCACTCTTATTTACTGTAAATGTTAGAGGCTCCAGACTCATCTGCTGTTTCTGCTTGCACAAAAACAGCAACAGGCGCATTCAGTGGCACAGGCAGTGTAATCATTTCTCGATGTGATGCTAAAATCAGCCTGCCTATCGCTGATGATACAAGACATAAAAAGGTGTGATGAGCATCATTTCAAAGAGACACACGCATCACTTTTTGTTCCTCTCAGTCTCTCTGGAAATGACGTTTATCAGAGTCAGATGTTGCAACAGAACGTGTTGACATTAGGGACTTTTCTGTTTGTGCCAATGTTTCGGGACATGTTAAGTTAGGGCAAATAAAATGACTTACTAGATAAGGCAGCGAAAGGTCTCGCTGAGGTTACATGATCTTTTTTAGGTTTCAATACGCTCCAGATTTTGATCTTGAGATTTTTTTTTCATCACAGGAAATGATTCATTCATGTGTTTAGTGTTGTGCAGTGCGACTTTGTTTTACTCCTCTTAGGTTTCTTTTGTAGCTGCAGTGGCTTGGTATCAATGGCCCTCTTTAACTGTACTGTGTGAATAGCAGTAATAGTGATCTTCTGGCTGAGAGGACGCCGTGAACACAATTGAGCTGCTGTACATTTGTCACAGAGGAAGCAGCTAACAACACACTATTGTCTTTCTGAGTTAACACTGTGAAGTGTTGAAGAGGATTCATTTATGTCAGTGAGGATCAGTGAAGGCAACGAGCAGTTATTAACAGTTAGTAATTAATGATATGAGATTGAAACTGAGTTGCCAGTGATTTATCTGTTGATAAATATACCTCCTTTCTCCTCAAACCACAGATACAGGAAGCCCCACGCTCATTAAATGTGTAATTATAGTATTAAGGTAATGGTTGTTTTGCAAAGTGCTTTCTCAGTAATTGGAGGCGGGCTATTGTGAGTGATTAAGCGTTTTGTTTGATCACATTGTGCTTATATTCGTAACAAAGACCACCAAGTGATTGTGCGGGAAGTGAACAGTCGCAGTGAGAATCGCAGGCTCGTGACATTAACTACACAAAAGACAAAAGCAAACAAAAGTCCAGAAAACTCCAACAGACCTTGACCTTTGACCGTGCGGTCTGAACTTGTTTGCCTTGCTAGGTACTAAAGTTCTGAAAAGCACAAAAATCTGTCATACTTTCCAGTGTTTTATCTCAGCCGGTGATCATTCACAGCCTCATACCAGTCAGGTCGGTGTATTGCAGAAGTTTTGGTGAACAAATTGAATGAGTGAGAGAATGAGGTCAAGTCTCGGGTGTTGGGAGTCACTGTGTCAACAGTGTAAGTGAGTCAACGCTGCACAGATGTTGTACAGATAAATATTGAATACAAGAACTCATGGCACTCATCACTGATGGCAGCATTTACAGAAATGTTAATATCTTAACATAAGGACTGCTGCTTGAGTTGATAGATTCTAACACTCTTTAAAAATTTAAATTCAATTGTAAACAATTACAAAAAGGCAAAAAAAAATATATATAAAGGCAATTATTAAAGTCAACAAAACCGCTCTGTATTAAGCTGTACACCAAAGAGGTGTAAGCTGAAGCGACATGCATTTGGTTTTTAAAATATGTCATTTCTTTGGCATCAAAAGTCAAAATCAACCAAAGTTATTAGATCCGTACCACACTACTGTAAAAACACAGCTTTTGATCATACACTGTCAATATGTATATTTAGAATAAAACCCTAAAATATGGTTTTAAAAAAAGCATTTCTCCATCACATTAAATATCCATCACCAAACATGCAAGGCGTCAAAGTTCAGAGTTCAAAACAAGAGTTTAACAGAGTTTGTGTGTGTGATATTGAATGTGTTTTGGAAACGTAATCAGATGACCCCACGGGATATTGTTCTATCTTGATAGCTCATGAAAATATGTGACATCAGTTTTTCCAACCCAGTCCAGCCAAATCAAATTATTGAACTTTGGCAGAAAACTTTGAGCTAGGACCTCATTGACCATTGCAAGGAGCTGTCTGAGAAAATATGCTGTTAGGGCCTTTAAGCATTCAAAGTGTGCTGCAAGCTTTTAGTGCAGTTACTTCAGGAAATTATGTGTTTAAAGGAATTCTTCACCCCCAAGGGACAGCACAGCACGGTGGTGCAGTGGTTAGCATTGTCGCCTCACAGCAAGAGGGCTAGTTAGAACCCTGGGTTGGGGGATCTCTGTGGAGTTTGCATGTTCTCCCCTTGTCAGCGTAACAGTGTCTCTTGGTACTCCGGCTTCCTCCCACCATCCAAAAACATGCAAGCTAGGTTAATTGGTGACTCTAAATTGGCTGTAGGTGTGAATGTGAGTGTGAATGGTTGTCTGTCTCTATGTGTCAGCCCTGTGATAGTCTGGCGACCTGTCCAGGGTGACTGTCAGCTGGGATAGGCTCCAGCCCCCCCACGACCCCTACCAGGATAAGCGGTTACGGGAAATCATTGAACGAATGAACTTAACCCCCAAGTAACCTTTTGTATATCAAAACTCACCCCATGTTACCTTTAATTCGTGAAGAAAGCTTTATTTCCCTTGCACGCCTCCACAGTGAACAAAGAATCCAAAAACTAAGAAAACCCTTGCTGACTTGAAGTAAACAGGGTCCGCATTTAACAACAGCCAGTCTGTATCAACTCTATATCAAAGCCACATTTATCCACTCCCAGCTCAGTACTTCCCGAACACATACAAACACCTGTATACAGGTAGGGAACCTTAGCAGGGATGTGCATTTGAACACTGCAACACTGTTAAAACACGAGTGCTTGCCCAGGTGTGCTTCTGTTGTGTGTTTTGTATGTATTAAATAGTAACCTTTTCGCAAAAATGTATGTTTGGGAAGTCCTGAGCATAAGAGTGGATAACAAAGACCTGGATCGTACTGCACATATTTTGATATAGTTTTGCTCTTGTTGCAAAATGACTTCAATTTTAGAGAAGGATTTTCTCAGTTTTTGGATTCTTCGTCAAAAGTGGAGGCATGCATGATTTTTCTTTCAAAGAATTCAAAGTAACATGGGGTGATTAACTGATACACGATCATTTTGTGGTTGACGTATTCCTTTAAACAAACAGATCCACACACCTGTATGTGATTCATGTCTTCTCTCTGTCTGCCCTAGATATTCAAGATACTGAGCGACTTTAAAGGATCAACCTCATCGAACACACTGAAACAAAAATCTGCTACAACTTGAATGATGGAAACTTCTCAGTCAGAGATGAACATCTTAGCCAACGGGAAAAGTCACGACCACAGTGGTGACTTAGGTGTACCAATGAAGACGATGCCAGAGGAGGACCAGTGAGTAGTGTTCCTTTATTTTACACACAGATGAATGGCTGCCCTTCGTCGCTCACATACTGTTAATGGCATTTTAACACAGCACGTGTCAAACACTTTTTATACCTTTTGTCTTTCTGTGTTAGTTATATGTGTGTGAAAACCACATCCTGGACTCTTAAAAGTAAAATGACTGTCTTTAAAGTTGACTACAAAAAATGTGAAAATGTACATCTACCTTTGTCCTTTCAATAAGAGTTTCATATTAATAATAACCAGGATAATGGATGTGGTGAGTTACACACAGTATGACTCACTTCCTGCATAATCTTCCTTTTTTAAAAATGCATGTTTACCTTGTTTTTGCTCGCCTCTTCGCCTGGATCCTTACACAGAAATGGCACTCAAACTGTCAGGTATGTCTGCAGAGATTTGTATGAAGGGTTTTTCAGCTGCACATTTATTTCTGTGCATATGATTACACAAAAAATAAGCATGTCTACAGCAGCTTTGTGCACAGTTTCCAAAGATGAATAGAGACCATCAGTTAATAGTCATAAATTTGCCCCCTAGATATGATGATCCTGAAGGGGGACAGGAGAGTGAGGAATTTCTGCCCAGTGCAGATGGGAAGAAGCCTATACGCTTCACAGATGTAAGTGTGAAAGTTCATCATCAAACTCCAGGGTTCGCATTATGCTTGAGATTGATTTCATGCTCTTGTTTTTTTCTCCCCTCAGTTTGAAGGAAAGACCTCTGTCGGCATGTCTGTCTTCAACCTGGGTAATGCTATTATGGGCAGTGGAATCCTGGGATTGGCGTATGCCATGGCCAACACTGGCATACTTCTCTTCTTGTGAGTAAATAATCGTGTTTATCAAGTGGTGGCAATTTGCAAAATATGAGAATCTACCCCCAAATCAAACTCAAGCAAAGTCAGTGGTGTTAATGGTTGCAGTGCTGAATTGCTGTCAGTTTCCTAATATATTAGGGTGTTTCTGTGGCTCTGCACCTATAGTATATATAGTATATTCTACTCGTCTGAAGGGTGAATGCTCTTACAAGAGTAGTAAAAAAGGAACAAGTATTTGCCAAAAGTGCTATGCGGTCCCGAGACTGTCTAATGTTAAAAACCTGGGCTGTCTATGCAGTAGAAAGACACAAATACTCTTGAAACTGGTGCTGTGGCATTCACATTTGCTGATGATGGTACAGTAAGTGTTAAAGAGCATAAGCAAGTTTGCATAGGTGGGTTTTGAGATGGGATTTGAAGGATGTTATGCTGGGAGCAGGAGGGGATGTATTCCTCGAGAAGGTCAGAGAGATAGGTGGGAGCTAGGTTATGGGGGGCTTTGAAGGTTAGCAGAAGGTTTTTGTAATCAATCTGATACTGAACAGGGAGCCAGAGTAGTTGGTTGAGAATGTGGGTAATGTAGTCGGATGATTTAGTGCAGGTAATGATCCAAGCAGCAGAGTTTTGACTGGTATGAAGCCTGTTAAGGAGTTTGGTGGGGAGACCAGAGAGAGCTGCATTACAGCGTTTGTCACATCCTGTATTGACTATACAGGATGTGACAAACGCATGGTTTGGTCTCTTTTTCAATCAGCTTATATCATCTTTGTGTCCATGGTCCGGGCATAAGAAAATGAGGAGGTACAATCTGTAGTTAAAGCAACTGAGAGCCAGCAAAGCTGGTCAGATTTTCAATAAATTCCTTAGATTTTTGCTGGAAAATTTGTCATGCAAAGCTGGTTGAAAATCTGCAATGTGTCCCTTTACAAACCAGGAGCGTGCTTGTTACTGACAGAAGTGATTTAGTTTCTGTCATGACATCCTTCAACATATCACATACCACGATATCTCCATCTCCACTCATAACCTTTTTCTCATGCTACCAACCAACCCCCATCTTCGTTGCAACACACAGAGCCCAGAAAGGCCACAGTCAGGAATAACCGCACCTCCAGACCTGGTGTGAGGCATCTGGATTGCTCATTTCCTTCCTACTGCTCCGTGCAGAATGCAGCTTTCAGACAGGGAGCCTGGTTGTCTTGGTCATGTCTGTTTGTGTAGCTGCAGAGAGCAGAAAGTACAGTAGCAGGGCTGTAATAAAACATAGCCTCAACATAAGTCAGCTCAAAGCTAGAGCTTTCAAAGAGTAGCTCGTCTAATGAAGGAGGCTGCGGGCCATTTCCTGTGAAATTCATTGCTGTAATTGGGTCAGTGGTATTCTAACTGTATATGCTTGGTGGCTGGTTTTATGTAATGGGTTCATTGCTGTGTAGCAGTAGGTGCAACAGACAATTGAGTTACAGTAACATGAGTTTTCAAAGCATCCTGAAGCAACCAACATGAATAGCCATGACAACCACATGTGGAGGGCTCCCAGCTTTTTGGAAGTCTGTTCAATCCCTGGTTTCTAAAGGCAGTTAAAAAGCTTAATTCCTAGGAAGCAAACACAAAACAAATCCTGGCAAATGAGCCCAATTATTTATGTATACATTTCAGTGAAACCATCCTCATATCTCTATGTGAGTGCTTCATTAAAAGTTAGAACTGGACCTTCCGGAAGAAAACGTGCATCTACTCATAGACGAGAGGCTTGTGCTCTTGACGGCTATAGATGTAAACTTTAATGGTGTCTTCCACGGCTGAGCTGTAATGTCAACTAGCTCAGTGGTGCTAGGTGAGCTAGCAGTAGATGCACATTTCCTGCGTGGTGATTCAGCTGGCAGATTTAGTTCAGTAGAAAGGAAATGGTTCCTACACGAAACTGCTCTCAACAAGGTCTGTGGATTATCTTGAGTTATCTGGTTTTGATTTCTGGAAAGAGACATTGCTGTTGTATTTTTTCCTGCTTTGAGCACCACAAATCGAGCGCAATCTAGTTCCATTATATTGGAGAGAAGGCAGACATCTCTATGGCTGATATCTCCACTCACAACATGTTCATACATCTTTGTACGCTCAAAATGTTTGCTCTTCATGGTTCATGGTCCTTTATGCCTCAGTGGCACCTCTTTGGACAACCAACTTTATTTCCCTCATTGTGGCTCTGATGGAGATTATAGCCTGCAGTGTTGAGAGATCCCTTGATCCACCAGTAGAGATAGAAATAGACCTCCTCATTCCTGGTCAGCATATATCCAGCGAGACACAGAAATAGCGTGGTCATGAAAAGCCTGGTGCCTTGCTGAATATTTGCACGAGGCGTCAGGATCCAGAGGAGGGTCCTTCTTCATTTAGACACGGCATCACGCTACATGTGCCATTTACAAATACAGACCTGTATGATAAATGGTTGTTGTAAAGCTGCTGATGACTGCTCATTGCAATCTGAGGGCTCGGCTCCAATACCTCTGCCTACAGACAACGGCCTGTGGTAGATTCTCAGTGTAGTTGTGGCTACAGAGTGTATGGAAATGCTGGGAAAGGTCTGAGAAAGGTGGTGGATTTGGGATCAACCTCTGACCTCATAGGAATGCTGACTGGAGAACCCTGTGCTGGTTGGACTCTGTAGGAGGACCATCGCATTTCTCATAGACCAAAGAGTTGTGGGAAATAATGTTTTCATTCATGCGTGGGACTATTGATTTCTATCAGTGGAGAGCCTTTTTGTTCTATTATAAAAAGACTGATTTCAGGAATGCCTTGTCTTGTTTCATGTTGAACTGTCAGTGCCACAATAATATTGTACAATTAGCATTTCAAAATGTCATGCAATGGCAGGATACTGACGTAGTGGAAAATAAGCCATCACTGCAGTTCAACTTCCCAGGCTTAATGAAACAGGTTTTTGGTTCCCTTATTAATACACAATGTCAGATCAGACAATAAATTCTGTTAATGTTAATGCTGTTGTGACTTACTGGTGGGAACATCTAAGAACACGCACAATACATCACAATTTAATGTAAATGGTTGTTTGTAATAATGTATACAGAAAAGGACAGAAGATGAATGTTGGAATTATAAAGTCCCAGAGGAAATGTTTGGTGTAATATAAAGTTGACATGTGCAAAGATATAGATGCAGATGTATGACTGTGTTTTCTGTACTGTGTCACAGGTTTCTTCTTACTGCAGTAGCAGCCTTGTCTTCTTACTCCATTCATCTGCTGCTCAAATCCTCTGGCATTGTGGGTAAGCTCTGCGACATGTCTCAGTCTTTCGGAATAAAGTAGCGTAGCTCAGTATTATAGTGTACAGTGCAAAATCCAGTAGTTCTGTTGCTTCTGGATCAACCTGGTTACACCCAACTTGTCAGATAGACTACCAATGGGTGGTCAGTGCCTCTGACACTTTTCTGGCAGTATGAGACACACAAAGCAACAGCAGTTTTTGACACTTGGAGCAACTGCCATAGTTTAAAAAGCAAGAAAGTCTGTAGTGAAGGGCAGTGGGTCAAACACGTTCTGGACTTTCACCTGGGGGACCGCTGTTTGTTTTTCATTATGAAACCAAAAGTCAACTGAGGCACTTGGGGGCTTTGTGGGTAAAGCAGGATTCTCATACACACAGGTGATGTCCTTGCTGCAGCAGCCGTGGGTTCGATTGCTGCATGCCATCCCCTCTCTTTTCACACTTAGATTGTCCTATCTAATAAAGACAAAAAGCTCCAACAAAATCTTAAAAAAACAACAACAACTAATGAGTTATTTTAATAACAACATAATGTGCTAGTAACAAAAAACTTATTTTAAACAAAACGTTTTGTTCTTAACCTAACCATGTGCTTTTGTTACCTAAACCTAAAGGAGTAAACCTAAAAAGTGTTTTACAAGTTTATTTTAAAAAGAGACAGTATGCATTTAACGAGCAGAAACTGTAAATATCCTGTTAAATGTCCAGAAACAACACAGGAGGGGTACCCAGGGTTTTATTATCTGACGACAAGGACCACTGACCATGCATCGGTATTCGACGAGGTGGAAGTGTGATGTGTTTTCTGGGTACCAGATTACACCAAAGGGACAAAGACATCTGATATAGTTAAACTGGTTAAAGGACCATTAAGTATAAAAAACAAGAAATTATAATCCATACTAGCAAATTATTCTAGAAATAATTAAAATATATTAAAAAAAGGAAAATTAAAGTGTGACTGCTTTAAACGTAACTTCTCTGTGGCTTAGACGGACTATAAGAAGGACAAGTAATGAATTATGGCAAGGTTTGTAATGTGTAGACAAGCTGTGAAATTAACAAGTGGTTCTTCACCCACCAGTCACACATGTACAGCCTTGTTATTAGGGGCCGGGCAGCCTAAGCTGCCAGGACCCTGTTGTATTGCTGCATGTTCTTCTTCTTCTTCTTCTTCTTCCTCCGAGAAAATCATACTTCCCATGCGCGAAAATTCATCAAACTTTGCACAAAGGTCCAGTCCCATGCCAGATTGCCTCAGCTGCAAAAACAGGCCAATAGTCCTGATGGTGGCGCTACAGCAAGCATCTAAAGTTCAAAATTTTGAAAATTCACAACAAATCAACCATAAGTGCAACAGATTTGCAACTTTCACCAAAATGTAGCCCCAATACTGATGAAACTTTTGTACATTTAAACCTATTACAAATTATGAAGTCCATTACTCTGTTTTTTTTCAAAAACTGTAAAACTTATTAAACCTATCTCCTCCCACAATTTTTGCTCAATTGACACCAAACTTGCCACAGAGCATCTTCAGACTGTCCTACACAAATGAATCTAAAATTGAGCCTACAGTGCATCAAAATGTTTGACTGTAAAGGGTATTGTAAACATATACTTGCAAATTCTTGCTAAATACATTTTCAATGTTCATTAAAAAAAAATGACAAAATTTTGGAGTCATGGTAGATGACGTTTGGAAAATTTCAGAATTTTATCTCAAAAACTGATTTTTTTTTTTTTTTACAGCATTTTGAATTTTGCTCTCATGCAAACAATTGGAGTCAGAGCAAAAATGGCATTTTTACACATCAGTTTTTCACTTATGGAGCCAATAAATTATTGTTAAAAACAAATTACCAACATCTCCATGCTGTCTAGATGCAATTTGTGTATTTTCGGATTTTTGTCTTAATAACTGAATTTTTGACAGCCGTTTGAAATCTGCCTTTACACACTAACAGCTGCTGTCTTGCACACAGGTGACTGGCTTAGTCAATTTGTGAAGCTACACGTGACATTTCTGTTTGTCAATTAGCTCAGTGAGATAGAGGATGGTTCTTGGTGTTGAAGATTGTGAGTTCAAGCCTCAGCTCGTGCAACATTTCCATATGAGAAATCTACCAAGGTTAAAATAATTATGATCCAGGCAGTTTTGCGGAGCGACAAATACTCTTTATCAACACTTTTCCCTGTTATCTCGTCTCTTTTCCCTGTTTATTTGGCTTAGCTATCAGTCAATATGCAGAGTCTATGTAGTCTCGCCACCAGACAATCAGAGATCTCTGCCTTCTGATAGTCTGGGGACACTCCTTCCTTAAGTGTGTTTAACACACCGGCGAAAACGGCCGGCAACAAAGCAACGCCTCTTGCATTTTTGAAAAGGACACGCCTTCTCGGAAATGTGCGCTCCCCCTTTTCTCGTCCGCAAGGAAACAAACACACAGAGAGCTTGAAAATGGATGCCGAAAGATTTAACTCCGTTTTATCAAATGTGTGCTCATCCGTGAAGAAAATATTTTTTCCAGCAGATGTCTTAGTTACAACATGATTGAGCTAACTGGAGTAGTTTCATGTCGTATCCGACAACGGGAGGCTTTTAACAGATGACGGCTGTCGTGTTGTTAGCTTTGCTGCTGCTGTTAGCTGTCCCTGTCAGCTGATGCTTTCTAGACATCATGATTTCCCAAAACTGAATAAATACCACACATAGCAACACAAAACTGCTTTGCTAGCTTAATCATGTTGTAACTAAGATATCCGCTGGAAAAAATATTTTTTTCACAGACCGTTTAATGAGTTATTACCTATTACAGACACCGCTAACGGCTAAGAAATAGTAATGTTTGTTCAAACATTGTGTTTATAGACTTTACAAACATCGGATTAGTGTAAACGGTGATACAGTGATGTGAAAAATGTGATAAACCAGCAGAGCTTTTAGCTATATATATAGCTAAGTTATATATAGAGAGCTAAAAGCTCTGCTGGTTTTCTACCCGGAAGTAGGCTATTTGTAAACAACAAGGCGATTCCATCTAACGTTATAGTCCGGCCGGACGGATGAGTCATGGCCTTGTAAAAGATTATGTTTGTTTCTTTTAGTTGGCGAGAATGTGTCGCCGCAAACGCGACAAACATCCACTAACTTTGACGGAGTTTTCTGCGAGCGCGGCTGAGCCATTTTGTACCGCTACACGTGTTTCTAGTCGGACTATGTTTACAAGCACAAGAGTTCAGCGAGCCACCAAAGCACCGCCCTGCGGATTTACTATTGGTTCTGCAACGTAGGGAGTTTTTTTAAACTCTGAAATTGTATCCGCCCATCTAAACACAAAATCAGGGAGAAAGTCATCAGTCTTTAGTTAAGCAAAGCGTCTAAAGACTGACTTGTGACTCTAGAGTCTATGCAATAGATAAATGTTTTCATCTTTGTCACCATGGATAATGTTTAGCTTTAAGCTAGATCAGGACAGTTTGTTCATAATTGCTAGCAGTTAATATAATTCTTACTTTCTTGTTCTTGAGTTTTTTTCTTTCCTTTGTATATTATGAGTCTGATCACCTTAGCCACTCATCCACAATTTGAAGGGCATGCCATAATTATATGATGTAACTTCTATGTTGTGATATGCTTTGTTTTAGTGTGTGTGTTGCTCAGAATTGCCTAATTTTGCCTAAAATTGTCCGGCCCCGACCATTGCTGCGCAGCAGCTATAATTGTTTTTTATTGTGTTGCTCAGAGCGATGTCTGAAGAAACATAACTGAAAGAATATTATTGTCTGTAATCTGTTTACAGGAATCCGAGCTTATGAACAGCTGGGGTACAGAGCCTTTGGCACTCCTGGAAAAATGGCTGCTGGTATAGCAATCACCCTGCAGAATATTGGAGGTGAGGAGCCACAATGTGATTCACATGTTGGCAAACTGTTTTCAAACTCCCTGTAGCAGAAAACATAAATTAGCTACTTAGAGTTTATATCCATGCTGCACAACCACACACACAACTACATTCACTTAAACCACTAGTATTACTTTGGCTTTTGTTCTTGGCTGTGCATCTCTGCAGGATATGAGGTTGTATTAAGAAGCAGAGATCAGAGGAAATGTTAGTAAACAGCTGTGTTCCTGGGTGGTGTGTGAACTTGAGTTCCTCCCACTCACTGAACAGCATGAATGGCTGGTTGTGACCGACCAAAGCTTTGTGGATACACATTAGATTTTCATGAAGTTAATTCACAGAATGATTTATATTGGTTGCATTTGTAATGCCCAGAGACTGACTGCAGTGGTTTTCATAAAGCTTTTTCAGTCCCGCCGGCCTGAGGTTGAGGTAATCATTGACTGGTCTTGTGATTGGCTCAGTGATGCCAATAACCTTCCAGGGTCACAGCCAGGATTTTAGAAATACTGAGGTCAAGTCCCCCTAACCCAACCCCCACCCAAACGCAAGTCAATAACTTTTTAACAATTGAGATCATTGATATTTTATTAATATCATAAAATGTTCCAAAAACTGCTTGTTCAGTTTTAATTTTCTGTGAGTTTCAGGTCTGAAGCAAACAATTATTTTCATTATCAAGTCATCTACTTGATTAATTGATTGTTTGAGCTCATAGGCATAGATTTTGGTAGGGGGGCTAACGGGGGATTTGTTATTTTGATTTGAAGACATTTCCATCATAAATTGATGCAGAAAAGGCACAAATTGAAAAATAAATTGACCATACTGCAGGTAAGTGTGTGGCACTCAATCTTCCTGGGGAAGAACCCCCGACCCAGGTTTCACATGTGACCCAACCAGTGTTAAAACAAAACATACACCCTTGTTTGGTTTATAAAATGCCAAAAAAAAAGAAAAAAAAAATGCTTAAAATCTAAAATAATGCAATAAAACAGTGGTTTATCACAATTTAAGAAAAGATCATATGTGGTAATTTTGCTTGTAAAACAGGAAAATGATTAATCAGTTAGCCATATTGCTTACATATTCTCTATTGATCGATTAATTAACAATTGTTTCAGCTCTGTAAAGTTGTTTTTTTGTACCCTAGACCAGTGGTTCCCAACTGGACCAGCCACAGGATCCAAATTTCTCCTTAGTCATTAGTTCAAGGTCCACACAGCTGAATAGAATCAGCGTCATACTTGTGTTTAGCCATGCAGTCGAGCTAGTTTGCTGTTTCAGTCAAGTATCTGTCTGTTAGTCACTCACTCTACAGCTGAAAACAACACTTCAAAATAAAGCTCTGTGCCAGAAATTGTACTGTACTGAAACTGTACTTCAAAATAAAGTGGGTTTTTTTTTTTTACAAACTTGACACATTTGCAGTCCATTCAGATTGGACTGGCAACCCGCTTTTGGATAGCGATCCACCAGTTCGGAATCACGACCCTAGATGAAAGTCTTAATGTTGTTTTAAAGTGGTAACATTCTGGCCTCTTTGTTAGCCTAAAATTATTTCATGTAAATATACAGAGTCAAATCTGACAATAAAATACCACTGTATAGGGGCGTCGGTGGCTTGGTGGTGGAGCGGGCGCCCCATGTGCAGGGCTGTTGCCGCGGTGGCCCGGGTTCGACTCCAGCCTGTGGCCCTTTGCTGCATGTCACTCCCTCTCTCTCTCCCCCTTTCACGCTTGTCTGTCCTGTCGAATAAAGGCTAAAAATGCCCAGAAAAAAAAAATACCACTGTGTATTATTTCTTTTAACTTGTAGAAAGTAACCTAAACATGAATACATGACCTCAGTGTCCTCAGGAGAAAAGCCACTGCTCTGTCACTTACACAAACATACTGTGACATGGCGTAGCTGACGTCTGTTTGTTCTGTACGCCACTTTACTTGCACTCAAACATATCTGGCAACGCATTTTCACCTGCTCTGTTACAGCTATGTCCAGCTACCTGTACATTGTGAAATCTGAGTTACCTCTGGTCATCCAAGCTTTCCTGAAGGCAGATCCAAACTCTGAGTGAGTATTATCACCTAAGTGCTTTTCAACATCAACATCTCAGTGCTGCTGGTGCGATGCACGTGACTCCCGCCTGCTCTCCAGCTTAGACACTGTGTGCTGGGTCAAGGGGCCTGGCAGACTATGTGAGCAGTGAATATATTTCAGTTTGCACCACTCATTGATTCAGTCAGTGTGGGGTGTGATGAGAATGGCAGCTTCTAATTGGCTAAACGGCAGGGGGCCCATGGCTGGGTACTATCTGTCAGTTATGTCTACACACAACATAAACTCTTAATGCTGTCAGCTCGTGGAGGCAAGCGGCGCGCACGTCAGAGCAATGCCAGGATGCAGACATTCTGCATAAGGTCACGAACTACTGAAGTGGATTCCAGCTGTCTGTTCGAATCTAAAAACAAACCTTGGACTCGAAAGGGATTGCAGCGACTGTGGCCATCCCTTTTAAAAAATGTCTGGCCTGGACAATAAAAAACCCTCTCTTCAGAAATATCAGCAACCTATCTCAACCTTGTGTTTTACATATTGAAGTATCCAGACAGTCATCTCAGGGAGCTAACATAATGCAATACACTATACACAGCAAAATTTGTATTAAAGGGAACCTATTGTGCCTTTATGGTACAATCCTGGATGTTCATATTAAACATGGCCAAAGTTACAAGTAGTGAGATAAATGTATGTAAAAGTAATCCCTGTGAGCAAAAACTTTAGACAGTCCTGAATACTGTTTCCAACATTTTTTTCTACTTTGTAGACAAGATGACGTCTTTCTTTATATGGTCATCTGCTCCAGTGTTTGCGCTGCTACTGTAGCTACATACTAACATATGGGAAACATGTAATCTTTGTTGCTAGTGTTGTTAATTTCGCCCTGATTTCAGATTATATTCCTGCTGGAACATGTTCGGTTGTGAGAATTTTGGTTGGGAAGCTTATGTTGGGGATTTTTAACGGGAGATAGTGCCACTATACTCCGTTACCATCATTACTACACTGCTACATGTAGCTAATCGCTACATAAGCATAACGTCAGAAAAAACATGTTCTTGGTTTCTCCCTGAGTTTGGATCATAGTCCTGCTGAAAAAATGTCCACTTTTAAAGATGAATGTTTTAGAAGCTTCTGCTGGTGATTTTTTCATGGTAGATAGTGGCGCTATATTCCGTTACAGTCATGCCCGGATGCACACTGCTACATGCAGCTAATCGCTACGGGAGCATAATGTCAGACAAACATATTCTTGGTTGCTGTTGTTCTCAATTTCTCCCTGATTTTGGATCATAGTCCTGCTGGAAAAACGTCCAGTTTTAAAGATTGTTTTAGAACTTTTGATTGGTTTTTCATGGTAGGAAGTTCTCCTACATGCTGTTACAGTCACTTCCTGGATGTCAGTATATTGCTATATGTAGCTAACTACAACATGCTAATGTCAGGGAATGTAATGGTTGCAGAAGTTGTAATTTCTCCGGGTATTGCATCATATATCCACAGTCGTTCCCCAGCTGCAGTGGCAGTGCAGAGACAGCAAGAGTGCAGATAAGGAAGACCTAGAAATGCTGACCAGTCAGAGCAGACTAGGCTTTTTTGGGAGGTAGGTTCAAAGAGACAGGTGCTAAAATGCTAAAGGGTGCCAAAGCGGTGATTACATGTGTTCCAGCACAGACAGTACGAGGAAAATGAAGTGTTTTTCCTGACATTAAACAATAAAATTCCGCCCAAAATAATATGAACCTGAAAATGACCACAATAGGTCCCTTTTAAACAACCTCAACACTAAATACCCATCTAAGCTTCGAGCCTGACCTGTGTCTCTAACATCTCACTGTTCTTGAGTTTGGTGTGCTTTTCCATTTTTATGTCATGCCCTTTAGAAAGCCCTTACACCTAAGCCCTCTGAAGGACACGTCATTATCCTTTATCATGATTAATTTTGGAATGAGATTAGCTAATAGTCCACTTATATCAGAGTTTGTGTGTATTCCTTTCAGGGTCAGATGCTTGGCAACAGTCGAAAGTGACGTATGAAGTATTACGACTCTCGTTCTCCCTGTGTCTCACACACACACACACACACACACACACACACACACACACAACCCCCCCACCCACCCACCCACACACACACAAATGACAGCAGCAGGTGGTGTAACATGGGTGCCAAATTCCGAGGCCGAGCATAAGGACAGGTCAGCTCAGGGCCAGCTCTCAGCAACTAAGTCACACACTGTTCATTTCCACCCAGTCCACCTCTTGCTGTTTAAATCCATGGCGTCAGGAGAACAGCGTGGAATGACGAGTGGGTGGAGGGGATGGTGGGAGGGGGGTGGGTTTGCGTAGTCACACATGGAGAAGGTCAGATATTTGGAAGTAGCAGGAATTCACTGCAATAGTCCTGACACTGAAGTCATGGTAATGAGGACTTGGACTTGACCGCTGTGAGACTTGACTCCATGAAGACTTGGGCCCAACTAAATGTTTAATGCCAGTTAAATACCAACATATATATTTGGGATTTTAAAAAGAATGGAATGATGTTTTGGCTAATACTTATTTTTCAACATAAACACGTAACAAAATAGGATCCCCTTAATTTTGTTATTTAAGAATTGTGACCAAAATATGCACTGATCGGGGCATTTTACAGTTAAAGAATAAAAGTAAAATACATTAGTATAACAAGAAACTTGTCATTGCTAGTGCAATTTATCAGCCAACGCATACAACACTGCTAGTTTTTTTAATATCGTAATATCACAGTCTAATAACATTAACGCTGTAAAATCCTGAACAATTAAAAAGATAATTAACGCATATAGTCAGGCCTTTCTTAACCATGCAGCTCATATATTTGTTTATTAGGCTCCATGCTCTGCAAATACTCGCAGCAGTAGATTTGCAGCAGCGTCATTTAATTTCATGTGTGAAAGCTGATCGTCTAAAATGACCTACTGGACAAATGTCCAAAGAGGACATGACCTGTGATTCATGTGGCTTCCCCTGCATTTAAGGGACTCCTCCACACACACACACACACACACACGCTCACACAAACACACACACACACACTTACATAGAGAGAGAGAGAGAGGGATAGTCTCATAGATCACTGTAAGCAGGGGGTCACCATGGCAGACAGCTGATCTGACTGGTTGTCTCGTTAAGAAGGTTAAGAATAACAGGCTTAGCAGCTTAAAAAGGGGCTGCAGGACACACACTGTTCTAATCACAGGATTTAGGAGACAGTGGACTTTAATGGTTTGACAATTATTTCTTATTTCTTTATTTGCTTCCTGCTGCTGGTGCTCATCTCAGGTCCACTGCTACTGATGTGAGATTTACAATCATTGCCACCTATTACATTTATTGGAAAGGAGAATTTGTCTCTTATATTCAGTAAACTGCTGATTTCCCACCTCAAGAACTGAAACAACGCTATTCTCAAAACTATAAGACATCAACAGTTAACTTCAGACTAATTAAAAGCCAGTGAAATATCTCACGTTTTTGGCTGGATTGCAGCAAAACAGTTATTGCAGAAACTTTCTAAGTCTGAAATCCTATCGTATCTCAGTTTAGGGTGACATTTAGGATTTAGAAACATGTTTCCTAACTGGGGATTCAGGATATGAATTAAGCTATTACACAGCAATCGAAAATAGTACGAAAGACAAGCACATCCCAACGTCCAATGGAGTGGGTGTTGGACTAAAGAAACGTGTGGCAAAGTAGAAAACAAATAAGTCCACACACACGCGTGATTTCCTCAGACTTCTGATACATGACCGCAAGTCGCCAGCTTGATTACCCATAGTGCTGCCCGAGCCAGTCATGTGACATGCCACACCTGTAGCCCAGCAGAATTCATTACTGTGTGAGCATATATACAAACAGTCAGGCCACACAGAAATAAAGGTACAATAAAAATGGCGACTTTCTCTCATGTATCAGAAGTCTGAGGAAGAGCTCTGTGGCTCGAAATGTCACTCTGCATTAAAATCCTTCTGAACGGGAGCTACTTGGTGTGTGGACTTATTTGTTTTTTACTATTACAGAACCACCCCGTCCTAAAGTCAAATTAACTGTCAAAAATTGCGACACGCTGTCGTTAGGTCTGCATGGAAATGACAGTGAAGAAGGGAAACAACATGAATACTGAAATAAAGTCATTAAAAGTTTTCTTTCCTCCATTGACATGAATAATGCCTCCGACTCCACGTAGCTAAAATTGAGCACCCATCTTTTTTGTGCATGTTAGCCAGCTAGCTGTAAGGGACAAGTGAGATTCACTGATACTATGGCTTGTCCATCTGGATGGTCTTCATCCTAAACATAGAGACAGGCGTGACAGGACGAGAGCTGATTGATGAACCAAATTCACATTTGTAGGATTTCTAAAGATAAAAAAGGAAGTCTGAGATAGGATACGACACGGCCACCAGTTCAGGAATTGCTTATGTAATATGAAGATAGGATTTTTCCTTTCTTCCAAACAGGATAGAACAAGCAGCTAGGATATTTGTTCTGTAATGAGGCCCCAGGACACCGAGACAGACAGACACAGGACACCATGACGTGAGGCCAGTCAGACACCCTGACTGCGTCCCAGCACCGACATGTCCACATGTTTTAAGAACATGTATGATTGGCATTTGTATGACTGGCATTCACGGGAGGTTTGTTTAATGGGTGCGTGGTGCCCACATATAGCAGATGATGATGCAACAGAGTGCAGGATAAGCAGAGCTAAGATTGGATATGTCATTCAATCCCCACACATTTTTTAGACTTAATTCAAAAGTGATTGAGTAATGCCTTGAAGGTGGAAACTAATTTTGGGTGGTGTGGGATGAGTGGGGAAAGACACAAAGGAACAAGAAAAATACAGGAACAGAGATGGCGATGATGTTATGGAACAAGCTGACATGGATAATATTTACTGACGTCTTCAGTGCTGTATTGTTTAGGCTCCACTTTTTCTTCCCTCTCTGCAACTGTGAGCGGTGGCATAAATCATCAGTGTTACGTAACAGGCTATTGCAGTACTTCTGTCGAGAGAAACATAAGCAGACACGCTTTTTCCACATTCTGGAGGCCAGCGATGTTCCCAGCAAGTCGCTGTTGGTCTGGTGAAATGCAGCACATGAACCATTTGGACCTTTTAGATTTTCAACAACCTCATGCCACTCAAACAAGTGCTCTCAGACGATGTGATTCAGAGAATGTAGCACCACCAGTTCCACTGAACGTGTCAAACAATTTCTTACCATCTAACACTTTATCCACTCTATTTTTGTCTCCGTCTCTGTGTGTGCTGTGTCTCAGTGCCAGTGTTTGAAATATGGAGCTCACCAAAGTAAACAATATTTTTTCTCCAAACAGTCTGTGGTACATGAATGGAAACTACCTGGTCATCATGGTGTCTGCCAGTATCATCCTGCCCTTGGCTTTAATGAAACAGCTCGGTGAGTAGTTTGTACAGTTGGACCTGGTCTGTTTCATCTTCTCAAATTAATTGAGACATTTTTATCTTCCACAAAGGACTGTATTAGTCTGTTGCAATTTTTAATATGAATAAGGCGTGTCACATATCTGTGTCATGTGTTCATTATGCATGCAGGGGAAACATTTATAGTTCTATCACCACAAAACCTTTTCCTTGAACTCGCCTGCATTTCAACCACTGTGGCCTATTTTTATATGGAAGCTGAGTTCTGCCAAGAGAAAAAAACAAAACACGTCAACTTGAATCGTTAGGCATGACAGTAAAGGGCCATCCACACCAACGATAGCTATAACAATATCTATAACACGTTATGAGCATCCGCTGGGATGAAGAACAACATTGTGTAAACAGTGGTGCCAAGTAAGTACGTTCTGCACGCTCAAGCTGTGCCAGTGCTTTGGAAAATAAATATTGACACCCTGTTATTGCTGCATGTTACAATAAATAAACTCACATAAAACCAGGAGAAAATAATCGTTACCTCATCTCTGTTAATAATAAAAACAAAACCCCTCTAACTGATTCCAAGGGTGAGTCCGATCGCACCCTAGGTGTCCTTCTTCTTGATAGTTTGTTTACAAAGACAGTTTGTTGTATCAAACATGAGTGCAGTTATTTTAAGCCTTGATGAGGCTCTCTGCAATGCCATCTGCTATTTTGAAAGTGACAACCTGTGAATTCGGATAAATTTTGATTGGCTGCCAGTGTTTCTGTTGTTCATCAAATCGCTCTGACAGTGATTTGAATGACCTTTCGCTAAGCCCCGACTCTTTGTGATGGTCCAACAAGCTGTCGCAGTAAGCATGGAGCCCACACTGTAACTAACTGCACTCCCTGAAGAAATATTAGCATATCTTTTGAAAAATGAAAGAGTGATTCCAGAGAGAAGCAGACAGAGGGGTCTACAGTCTGTGTTTGAAGGATATATTCAGGATGTCAAACTGACTCAGCAGCAACAACAGGTTAAAAAGACAAAGATAGTTAGAAGCTAAAGCCGAACTATAGGCTACAGATCACAGTGTAAAAGTGAACCACCACATCACTGCTGATCACCACAGAAGACAATGAATATAAAGGGAGACTTCACTGATATTGAACCAGCTGTGTGGCATCACAGTGTGTGCAGGTGTTTGGCTTCGCCCCCATGACGCTGCCACCTGGACCTCTGTCGCCGGATGGGCAAACATCAAACGTTCATCTGCGCACACTGTGATGACACAGAGCTGGTTGAATATCAGCAAAGTTTCCCTGCTTCCCTTCACTGGTTACTGTACAGCAGGGTCGGCCTTTGTTTCACTGTTATAATCATTAAAAAGCAAAAGCAGCATGTGTATACATTCAGCAGGCTATATCTTCAGTAGCTAGCTAGCTAACACTAAACTTTTCAGGGTTTGATTTTGGTTTTGGAACAGGGAAGAAACGTATATCTTTTTCCAACCTCTCCAGGTAACGAGTATCATTAATACACGACGTGCCACAGGCACAACATTTAGCTCCAAATCCACAAAACCAGCCTGAAAATGAAGGAAATCTGAAGCAACTGTCAGTGGAGTCAATGGAGCACAGCTGTGTTGTTGTCGGACCCTGGTCTGAGCCGGCCCGATGCTACATTATGATTGGCAGGTCTTGACATTATAGTTGTGTGGACTCTGCCATCACTTAGTGATCAAGTGATCACTTACACTTAGAATAATTCTAAAACAGTATATTTATAGTCATTGTTACAGTTACTGATAATATAGTAAGTATGTTTTCTTTAGTGTATGATCACCTGAAAATAAGAATTGTCGTGCATTTGTTACCTTAGAATGAGCTGTTTATGTCTACATAGGGAGTGGGTCCTCATCCACAGAGTCTGCCGTGTTGCACAGTCATGTTTGTACAGTAGCCCAGAAGAGACAAACTAAACACTGGCTCCACATAGTCGTTCACGTTTTTGCTTTTTCACATCAGTTATCATAGTTAGCAGTCCCTCTGTGAGGAGCCGAACACCAATGGAAAAACACTGATTTTAAGGTGAAACTGCTTAATTCAGTGTTTTTATTGGTTTAAATCACCTGTTGTTTGTTTTAGAGCGGAAGCGACCTCTGCAGATGATTCTGCTCCTGTTAATAACCTCCTGAACAACGAACACTAAAAGAATCCTAACTGGGAGATCACGCCTGGCATACTAGAAAAGTGTCAGTGGGTTGTAATTTGAAATCCTCACTGTTTGATGACACTAAATCCTGCACACTGTTCCTTTAAGTCAATTATGAATTAGAAAGACTCCCAAGCTCACAATTTAGACTTACCAAGAGTGTGTTTTATATTCTTATTGCACAAAACTTTTTCTCTAATTTCTCTTTTTGTGGTCAAAATGGGCTTCCATAATTTCCAGTTTTTGTTCCTGAGCTGTGGCTCCAGCCTCCTAATGTTAACAGACTGTCAATGGTGTCCTTGCACGTCTCTGCCTCTCTGTATTCACTCAAGCTTGTTGTGCTGCCTGTTACTCCCTTTAGATCTTTAAGCTTTGGTTATTTAATTTGAACAGTTAAGCGCTTTTCATTTTACATTTTACATTTGACCCCAATATGTTTTATATGTTCTATGAAACATTTTATATCTTTAGGACTTGCTAATTAAGATTATGTTTTCTACTGACAGCCAACATAGATAATAACATGTTGATGGAGTAGTTACCTTAAAGTCACGCAATTAGTGTTCGTCTTTATCCCACCACTGGCAGCAGAGACAGCAGGGGGCCAATTAGACATAATTTGAGTTGATCCCACCCTTTATTCCAGTCTGAGCTCTTCATTAATACATGAAATAAACTCGCTCCTTCTGGTCTCACAGTACTGGGGGGTCGCTCTGATGGGGGCATTTTGAGGGTATTTTTGCCATTTAAGCCTCATTTATAGAACAGTAGGAGACCTTCTGACTGTAAGCTTAGCGGAGCTGTTATGTAACTAACACAGCGTACAGTAGTCTCAAACAACACGCGAAGGCCAAGTGGATCAGGAACTGTAACAATAACTGCCTTTTCCTCTTTATTTATAGGTTACCTTGGCTATACCAGCGGATTCTCTCTCAGCTGTATGGTGTTTTTTCTCTCTGCGGTAAGTTGGTCCGGCTCACATAGTGGCACATCATCACAGTGGCTCTTCACACGGAGGCTCATTTGTTCTGGCACGCCATCTTGGCACACATGTTGCTCACTTTCCCACCCCCGTCTCTTTCCCACCCTCGTCTCTATTTTCAGTGGCATGTGGCTACATTTGATAAGGCGAATATAAGAGCTGCTTAACATACATCAAAGGGAGCTCTTGTTTACTGACTCTGACGCATCCCTTCATGCTCACGTCTTTTCTTTGATTACATCCGTTCTCCCCCCCCCCCCTTCTTTTGCATCTCTTTGCAGGTTATCTATAAGAAGTTTCAGATTCCCTGCCCGTTTGAAGAGTTCTCAGTCAACAGCACTGCTGCCCATCACCCCCTGAATGTCTCAAGCCACGGCCATGAGTACAACAACGGTCTGGTTCATGAGGACGACGACTCCCACTGCTCCCCGCGCATGTTTACCATCAACTCGCAGGTAGGCAGCCGAGGCTAACACACAGTCTGCTTATCTGGATTGTTTTCTAACAGTAAGGCCACAAGTGCTGAAGTCTTCAGAGTTCCCACACTTGTTCTGGGAGGCTCGGCCGCACTGCTAAACATAGAAAGTCACACGTTTTTGTGTTCTTCACAGACAGCATACACAATTCCCATCTTGGCATTTGCCTTTGTTTGCCACCCAGAGGTCCTCCCCATCTACACCGAGCTCCGCAAGTGAGTCACCCCTCGCAACCTGCAAGTATTTTGCAACACGTCTTTGCAGAATGTGGCACGCACATAACTGTCAACTCTCTGATTTCAGTCCAACAAAGAAGAAGATGCAGAGGGTGTCCAATATCTCAATCTTTGTCATGTACAGCATGTACTTTCTGGCAGCTCTCTTTGGCTATCTGACCTTTTATGGTGAGTGCAGCTGGCCCTGGCACTTTGTGTTTACAGTATCAGTGGAGAAAAATAATGTTTATGCAAAAATAGATAGTCAAGGCATTAAGGGATATTTGTTATTGTCAAAGATACACATACACAAAATTTTGTCTCAATCGAGGCCCAGTTGTTCAGCATAGTCTAATCAGATTTGATCAAATCTTTAGAATGGGTTGTTCAAAAGAGGAAAAAAAAAGATTTGAAACTGGATCAGATTACCTAATCCAGTTCTGGTATTGATCTAGATGGGTGGTGCTCAAGTGGTGTGCCGTGATGCCAATCCAGGTGTGCCATGGGATTTTGTGACTACCACATATTATTATGACAATATTCAATTGGACCTGTACAAAAAGTTATGAATGGATTTTTAATTGACTGTATCAGTATGTCATGTCATTTGACTGAATTAAATTTAAAAAAAACTTCATTGGGAACCTATTTGTCGCCATTTTCGCATAGGAATTATAAGTGTGTGACACATCAAAAGCCCTGATTGGCAGCCAGTGTGAGGGATGATAACATTTAAAAGGAGAAAACCATGAGGGGGACAATGGATCGCTTTACTGTATGGAAAAAAAACTGTCACCAGACAGTATCATGAAAGCTACCTGTCTTATTTTTCTTTTTATTATAGTCTTATGTCATAATGAGAGTGACGTTATAGAAGCTATTATGCACAGATATAAATACATATTCGTCCTTTGGTGTGCCTTAGGCACAAAAAGTTTGAAAACCACTGATCTAGATCAAACCTTCAGTATGTGTTGCTCAAAACTTTTTAGGAGGACTGGGATACCTTTGATCCAGAAGTTCAGGATTATCATGATCCCAGAAGAAGGCCTGTTTCAGGATGGGCATCAGGAGCAACATACAATAAATCATTTAAATAGTTTAAATGTAGTGATACATAGTCCCATTTAGAGCGCAGGGTATCCAGATTTGGTCAGCTTGAAGAGTTTGTATCAGACAGGTTTGCTGAACCAGGAAAGCAAAACATGAGATTTACAAATCCATGCCATTATTATCCAGATTAAATATTTGAACAACTGGACTCTGACATTGTGATGAGGGTATATCTTTTTATACTGAATACTAAAACACATAGAAATACTATAAATACTACAAATGTTCTAATGTATGGTTTTAATTCACTGCATATTGTTTAGTGATGTAGTAATATGTATAATTGATAGTATTTTCTGCTAAAGAAATATGCAGACACAGTAGTTGCTTCTCTTGCTACACATAGAGCTCAAGCTCCCTCTTGTGGTGACAATGTGCTCTCCAGTGTTGGAAGTTAGTACTGAGTGATTCCACATGTGAAAAATTTATTATTAATATGTTGTTGTTTTTTTTTTACATTTATCTATTATTTCCATAGACAATGTGGAGCCCGAGCTGCTGCACACTTACAGCAGGATCGATCCCTACGACACTCTGATCCTGTGCGTGCGAGTGGCTGTCCTCACTGCAGTGACGCTGACGGTCCCTATTGTGCTGTTCCCTGTAAGTTTGATGTTGATTTGTTCCCTGTGATGCTCAGTGAATGGAGTGTTCTGGTATTATTTACTCACTGAAACCTCCCTCTGTTGTCTCTCCACAGGTACGTAGAGCCATCCAGCACATGTTGTTCCCCACCAAGTCTTTCAACTGGTTGCGTCACATTGCCATTGCCCTCCTTCTGCTCACACTCATCAACATGCTGGTGATCTTTGCTCCCAACATTTTGGGCATCTTCGGCATCATTGGTTAGTACAGCGCTGGGCGTGGAGCTGAAACTGTATCTAAAGTATCACAGTGAGGTTTTGGTTTGTTATCAGTGAATCAAAAGAGGCACTTCTCGGGCTGTTTATGGCATTAACTCCTCCTGTTTATGTGAAGTCTTTCATTTTTAAGGAGGACTGTCCAAGAAACATCATCACCATGACACACTTAAAAAGTTAAGGACAAGTAGCAAATGATATCATAACTACAGTTGTAAATAACATCAGAAAAAATGACCAACAGATCTTGTTTATCCACCTCTATTTGACCACGTGACATTCTATATATTTAGTAATTATGGGTTACTTATTCTGTCTCTGTTTACAGACCTCCTGTCACCTCCTGTTTTAGTGTTTGTTATGTTTCAAACTTTGGAGTTCCTGAAAACATTGAAAGAAAAACTAAAAAATGTGACCTTGTTTGCTCACGGACAAACTGACATCCTGAGTCAATATTATTGTCATGCTGTGTCCTCATGTTTCACATGTTAGAGGTCAAAGTTAAAAAGTTACATGACCATCAAGGGCATCTTCAAAGCAACAGGCCCTGCCTTGACAAACACGTGTGTGGTTGGTGCAATATATGGAGCTGTTTGCAGCAACCTTAGTATGTTGTTAGGGCTCGTATGTTGTTAGTAGTACTCTCGTACTACTGAATTTATCTGTGTTGTTTTTGAGTTGAAAAACGGGTGAAAATTGGATTTCCCTGGACCTCACCATTCCGATCCCAGTGATCAGTATCCCTGAGTGTGAGGTCAACCTGAACTTTAATATATTCTGTAAAGTTATCTCCACGATCAAGCCAACAATGTTTTACCCTTAGAAATGTATTTTGACTGATATTTACCATTGTCACCCAGTTTCTGTGGCGTTAAACACAGTCCATAATCAAGGAATGGGCACAGGCCCCGGGGCCCAAAATGTAACTGCACAGTGTCACTCAAATTACTGTAACACATACTGACCAGGAAGAGATTCAAAATGACCACAAAGAGATGCAAAGGAATGGCAAAGATACACAAAATAACTAACAAAAAGGGCAAAACAACCTCAAAAAGACACAACATGTCCGAAGGAGACACGAAAGAGGCAGAAAATGACCAAAGAAGACACTGAACTATCTCAAACAGACATAAAATGACAAAAGGAGACACTAAATGGCCTCAAAGATACACAAAATGATCAAAGAAGACATTAAATTATGTCAAAGAGACACAAAATGTCCAAAGGAGACATTAAATTACGTAAAAAAAAACAGAAAATGACCAAAGGAGACACTAACTGCCCTTAAAGAGACACAAAAAGACCAAAGGAGACATGAAATTACATTAGAGAGACAGAAAATTACCAAAGGAGACATTAAATGACCCCAAAGAGACAGAAAATGACCAAAGGAGACATTAAATGACCCCAAAGAGACAGGAAATGACCAAAGGAGACATTAAATGACCTCAAAGAGACACAAAATGACCAAAGGAGACACTACATAACCTCAAAGAAACAGAAAAATGATCAAAGGAAACACTAACTGGCCTCAAAGAGACACAAAATGACCAAAGGAGACACTACATAACCTCAAAGAGACAGAAAATGACCAAAGGAGACATTAAATTATGTCAAAGAGACACAAAATGACCAAAGGAGACATTAAATTACTTTAGAGAGACAGAAAATGACCAAAGAAGACATTGAATTACATTAGAGAGACAGAAATTTACCAAAGGAGACACTGAATGACCCCAAAGAGACACAAAATGACTACAAAGAGAACAAAACCACAAAAAGATGTGGTACAACTACAAAGAGTTGCAAAACAATGAGACAAGAGGCTAAACAACTTCAAAGTGTGTGTGTGTCTCGCTCCTGGAGAAGTGGGAGGGCCTTTTGCATATTTGTGCCCAGGGGCCCATTGTCTGATAATACTCCACTGTCCATGATGCATGAGGACGGTCAAATTAATATTGAAAACACATCTGCACCTTTCCTAAGTGCTATATCATAGGCAACTGAATTTGCTTTAGTCTCTTGAAGACGTTAACCACTCATCCAAGAGTCTCCTTGAGTTCTGAATCTGCACTTTTAAAAATGTATTTGTCAGATAGAAAAACAATCCAAACTGAAAATGATCGGACTTCAATATGTTTCATCTTTACGTTTGTGTTCAGACAAATCTTTCTGTGCAGTGTTTTTTTTTTTAACCAACCTTCTCTCTCCACAGGCGCAACGTCGGCTCCCTGCCTCATTTTCATCTTCCCTGCCGTCTTCTACATCCGCATTGTTCCCAAAGATGACGAACCCATGACCTCTGTCCCTAAGATATTGGTGAGACCTGCAAACTTTCTCCTTTCAGTCTTTTATTGCGCTAATTTTATGATTTTGGTGATACTAAACGCACATATCCTTTCGTTCTTAGGCCGCCTGTTTTGCTGCTTTGGGTGTCTCCTTCATGGTAATGAGCCTGAGCTTCATCATCATCGACTGGTCAACAGGGGGCGGCCTTGCTGCAGGAGGCCACTAGATGCTGCTTCGGTGTGTGAGCTCTAGGGGGGGGGGGGGGGGGGGGGGGGGGGGGGGGGGGGGGGGGGGGGGGGGGGGGGGGGGGGGGGGGGGGGGGGGAGAGAACTGGTCAATGTAAAGGGAGCACTATCACCTCAGTGGGAACACACTACAGGGCTGCCCAGCACAGAGCCTGGGGTTTTTAACAGTATAACATATACAGTATACATGTTGGTTGGAATCACACTGGTATAGATGGAGTTAAATTAACTTCTGACTGTAACTTTACTCATATCTGAACAAAATCTGTGCTTATATAATTCAATTTAACATGGTAATGCAATTTCTATGAATAATCAGGACTAAACAGGGTCTTTTTTTATTACCATCTGTTCGTGCGACTAAGTCCATCCATGATGGTGAAATGGTCCTTTCCTGTTGCTTCCTCTTTATTTACATACAAACAACTGCAGCTGGTACTGTACAGAAATGAAGGCATGATTGTCTGATAGGCTGAAGGCATCAAAATATACGTGAGAAATAATTATTTTTACACAAATATGAGTTATTATCCACGAGACGCACAAAAGATGACTGTCAGATGATCTCATCCTGAGCTAGCTGCACTCTGAGCTGTTCATTATGGTGTAGTATAAAAACAAAAAGAGTGCTTTAAGGCCTTAGACTGCAGGTGACATTTCATGATCTGTCGAGTTGTTATGTATCACACAAAGCTTTTGTTCCAGATCAGCTAACTCTTGAGAAACCCCGGTGCCTTTTAGCATTTGGAACAGCACGCGAACACACAGCAAAAACAAGAGTGTATATTTATTTAGCTAAACTATATCTGTGTTTTTAATTTCAAATGGACTATATTTAACTACTGTATATGATGAAGTCAATGATCCAAATATATCATGTATGATACCAGTTTTTGTTTTAGCTCACAGTTTATATATGATGGAAAGAGTTACGACTGAAGATATTTTAAATGTTTAATTAAATACAAAGAGCTTGATATTAGGATTTCATATCTTATCTTTGTAGAACTTTTAGCACACACATGCCAAATTGTGACCTTGCATATGAATGAAGTACAACTTTTACCCCCACGGTTCACCCTTAAAGAATACTCTACCAGCAAAATGACCATTTGTATATCAATGTCTGACTACGATACTATGAATTTGTGAAGAAAACATAGTATTTCTGGCATGTCTCCATGGTGAACGAAGAATCCAAAAAAGGCAAACATTTTTCATACATTGAAGAAAATGGGGAGCACGTTTAACAACAGCAAAACTACAAACATCAATTGACAAACTCTCACACAACTCGTGCAGTATAAGCCAAGTCTAATGTATCTAGTCGTTTGCTCAATACTTCCCAAACATTTTTGTTACAAACGTTAAAATATAAAACATTTCCACATACAAGTAGAGTGCCCTGTGGAGCACACATGTGCATATGAATCCCACTTGAGCAGACTTTAAAGGCACGTGCGTGCCCAGGCATGCTTGGCTGTGCGTCAAACTGTTTGCTCTGACATCTTTGAAAAAGTAATGTTTCAGTGAAAATGCATGTGCTTGGGAAGTACGTAACATACGACTGGATAAATGAGACTTGGACAGTAGTTGCTGGTTGCATGTAGTGGTTAGTACTGTTGCTTCACAGCAAGAAGTTTCTGGGTTTGAGTCATAGACTTTAAAAACAATGGATGTAGCCATTGTGACATTACCCATTGGTTTGTGAACCCTCATTTTGGAGCCTTGAGTTCGGCATTACGGCCGTCACCATCTATTTTTGGAGCCAGAGGTGACCATATTTGGGCAAGAGGCTGGCACCATCACTATTGGCACTATCGGCAGACAGCCTGTCACTCAAAGCAGCCTTCCCTTAATTATGTGTAACATTAAGATCTAATAAAATGTAAACAGGTGAATTATATAAAAATTTGCCTCCGTATAGTTGTCACAAAGGAGGAAATTAGCTTTGGAAACCCACACTGTTTCTTGTCCCAGGCTGTAAACATGTTTATTTCTGTTGTAAAGTTGGGCGTTTTAACATAGGGGGCCTACGGGATTGACTGGCTTCTGGAGCCAGCCTCAAGTGGCTGTTCAAAGAATTGCATTTTTTAGGGACTTCCATGATCGCTTCAATTTTCAGCCACGTGGTTCAAATCCACCGTCCTGGGTCTGAAATGTACATGTTCTCCCTATGTCAGTGTGGGTTTTCTCAGGGTACTCCAGCTTCCCCCCACAGCCCAAAGACACGCAGGGTGGGTTTTGCCTGTAGGTGTAAATGCTAGCATGAGCTCTGTCTCTGTGTGTTAGCCCTGTGATAGTCTAGCGATGTGTCCAGGGTGTGCCTTACTCTACCTCTCACCCAGTGTCAAGACAAATGTTTTAATATAGCTTTGTTGTTGTTAAACATGGTCACTGTTTACTTTAATTCATGAGGCATGTCTGACTATTTTGGATTCTCCACTCACCCGCAGAGGCATACAGGAAAAACAAGTTGTAATCGAGAATTCAAAATAACACAGGGTGATGTGCTGAAACACAAATACTCATTTTGTGGGTTAAGTATTCCTTCAAGTCTCGCTCATTCATTTCTTAAACTCGTTCTCATTAAGTCAGATGAATTCAGAAATCACTTTATCCACACTGAATGATAATATTACATATTCTAAATCTGCACGTTGCAACACTTCAGTTCAGTTTTTGTGAGGTGTAATATGCAGTTAGCTTAGCTTAGCATAAAGACTGGAAGCAGGGGGAAACAGCTAGCCTGGCTCAAGCCTAACAGCACCTCTAAAGCTAACACTTAATATCAGGAAGTCACGTACCTCTAGTGAAATATGGTAACCGGCTATGCAGATAGGTTTGGTTGTACTTGCCCAGGTTTTAAGATACACTATAAGGAAAAAGGTTTGAGGACACCCAAGTATATATCAAAGCCTATGCAAATAAAACAAAAAAATGTCTTGGCTAAGGTTAATTTAGAAAACGTGGTTCATTAGTTTTTATGATTTGGGTGAGCTCACTAGAGCTCTGTTGGTTTGAACAATGCCTGGCCAGCAACATGACTTTGTAATGATGAACCCGCTGGTGGGTCTGGCAGAGTTTAATTTTATTAATTATGCTTTTGTGATTCTGTTGTAACGTCTTTGCCTCACTGGTTTGTAGTATTTTGATCTGCTTTCACTCGTTGACTATTTAGACTTGAGGTTAATGTTTTGCATGTCGTCGTGTCCAGTCCGTCCTGTAGTTGGTGTAGTGAACACAGAGATTTTCCTTCTGACACTGTCATATGTAGATGTTATTGTAATCCTGTGCATTTGGCATCTTACAGTGAAATGTATTAAAGTCCCACTCTGTGCTGTAGGTATTATAGTGTTATATTAGTATTATGAAGCCCTTCTTGAAAGATGCTACATGAAATAATGTTTTTAGACATTACTGATTCTCTGTGAGCAATGACACATTAATTTTGAGCTTAATTTAGGGTTGTGGATTGACACTTTCAGTAGTTCTTCAGGTGTATTTTGTGCCTCAAAATAGCTCTACAACCTGCTTAAAAGTTACAGATTACATTATATAGAAATCTGAAATTAACAAGTTTAAAAACAGCACAAAAGAGAAAATGTTATAACAGATATCTGATGCTTTACCCAAAGATGGTTTTATATTTTATTGCAACTCTCAGGCTTCAGAAAAACCCTGCATAAATCAGCACTTCTCTCCTTTTATTTATATATTGTTAATGACTACTTGTTTAACAGGTTTGATTTTTACAAATGAATTATGAACAGCAGCCGAGGAAATACTTATGCACGTATCAACCTCCGTCCCTTGCTTTCCCACATGTATTCGCAGTGGTTGTTTTAAATGAAGGTTTAGTTTTGTCATGTTTGGTGAACCGAGTTTTGCTTCACTTTAAGGGATCATGCCAAATCAACAACTGACTACCTACTGCTTTAAAATGCCTTTAACTTTTAAACAGGTACCACAGTTTTAATACCAGATGCAGTATATCAAATATGCATTTCTCATATACCTAAAGAAATCAAAGTGATATTTTTGTTTCAGGACATAGATCTATGGAAATGACACGACTATAAAATAATATTATGGATTTTGATGAATAAGACGTGGCTTTATATAAATAATGTATATAAATGTAAACCTTTTATATTTGTGATGCTTATTTACAGTAGCTTGTAAAGTGTAAATAGCAGGGACACTTTTAGTTTGGCAATAAAATAATTGTAGATGTTTGTACATTGTCTCTGTTGTCATCATTTTCACTTAACTTGAACTTATTCTGTAAAATGAACAAATCAACTGAACATCAGTGATTTGGGTTTTTGTGTTCTGCTACTGATTTGTGTTCCATTGAAAGGACTGCATAAATTTAAACCACATTTACATGTTTGATGGATGTAGGTTTAAAAGAAGAGTTCATGTAGTCAGTGTTCTTATCGTGTCTGTCAAGGCTAAGCTGTGTTTACAAAAAACACTAAGCCTGAACTTGAGGTCGCCTTGATCCCTCATGCTGACCTTGTTATGCCAACATACTGCAAGTTTCTACTGTAACACATCAACACTGATTTCTTTAGATTTGTTTACAGTCTAAATAGGAGACAAGCCATATAGGCTTGTGTAATGCTGACACCTCAGGCGGTAAGATCTAAATTTCCTGACACATTTAAGCACTGGTATAGAAACAAATGTAACAGAATGTACCTGTAATGTCTCTGAGGAAGAATATCACAGCAGCAGGGAGTGAGCAACACTTTAACACCACAGACGAGGTGAATAAGCAATAAATGATTGTTTGAGTTTAACACATTCGCCTGATGGATCTAAAATCTTATCAGTATTGTCTTTTACAAACGGAAAAGTCCAGAATATGACTTGACTTTAAAAGTCCAGTGTGTAGGATTTAAGGGCATCTATTGGCAGAAATGGAATATAATATTCATTCAGTGTTTTCATTTGTCTATAAGCACCTGAAAATAAGAATGGAGACCTGAACGTCCCAACCCTCACCTATGGTCATGATCTCTGGGTAGTGACCGAATGAATGAGGTCACGGATACAAGTGGCCGAAATGAGCTTCCTCTGTGGGGTGGCTGGGCTCAGCTTTAGAGATAGGGTAAGGAGCTTGGAGTGGAGCCGCTGCTCCTTCACGTCCAAAGGGGTCAGTTGAGGTGGTTCGGGCATCTGATCAGGATGCCTCCTGGGCGCCTCCTGTTGGAGGTTTTCTGGGCATGTCCAACTGGTAGGAGGCCCCGGGGCAGACCCAGAACACGCTGGAGGGATTACATACACTGCCTGGCCAAAAAAAAAGTCACCACCAAAAAAAAAGGTCCATACACTCTAATATTTCGTTGGACCGCCTTTAGCTTTGATTAAGGCACGCATTCGCTGTGGCATTGTTTCGATAAGCTTCTGCAATGTCACAAGATTTATTTCCATCCAGTGTTGCATTAATTTTTCACCAAGATCTTGCATTGATGATGGTAGAGTCTGACCGCTGCGCAAAGCCTTCTCCAGCACATCTCAAAGATTCTCAATGGGGTTAAGGTCTGGACTCTGTGGTGGCCAATCCATGTGTGAAAATGATGTCTCATGCTCCCTGAACCAGTCTTTCACAATTTGAGCCCGATGAATCCTGGCATTGTCATCTTGGAATATGCCCGTGCCATCAGGGAAGAAAAAATCCATTGATGGAATAACCTGGTCATTCAGTATATTCAGGTAGTCAGCTGACCTCATTCTTTGAGCACATACTGTTGCTGAACCTAGACCTGACCAACTGCAGCAACCCCAGATCATAACACTGCCCCCACAGGCTTGTACAGTAGGCACTAGGCATGATGGGTGCATCACTTCATCTGCCTCTCTTCTTACCCTGATGCGCCCATCACTCTGGAACAGGGTAAATCTGGACTCATCAGACCACATGACCTTCTTCCATTGCTCCAGAGTCCAATCTTTATGCTCCCTAGCAAATTGAAGCCTTTTTTTCCGGTTAGCCTCACTGATTAGTGGTTTTCTTAAGGCTACACAGCTGTTCAGTCCCAATCCCTTGAGTTCCCTTCGCGTTGTGCGTGTGGAAATGCTCTTACTTTCACTATTAAACATAGCCCTGAGTTCTACTGTTGTTTTTCTTCAATTTGATCTCACCAAACGTTTAAGTGATCGCCGATCACGATCATTGAGGATTTTTTTCCGGCCACATTTCTTCCTCGAAGACGATGGGTCCCCACTATCCTTCTAGTTTTTAATAATGCGTTGGACAGTTCTTAACCCAATTTTAGTAGTTTCTGCAATCTCCTTAGATGTTTTCTCTGCTTGATGCATGCCAATGATTTGACCCTTCTCAAACAGACTAACATCTTTTCCACGACCACGGGATGTGTCTTTCGACATGATTGTTTAGGAAATGAGAAGCAACTCATTGCACCAGTTGGGGTTAAATAACTTGTTGCCAGCTGAAAGATAATCGCCCATGCAGTAATTATCCAATAGGAGGCTCGTACCTATTTGCTTAGTTAAATTTTTTTTTGGCCAGGCAGTGTATCTCGTCTAGCCTGGGAACACCCTGGGGTCCCTCAGGAGGAGCTGGAAAGCGTTGCTGGGGAAAGGGACGTCTGGGGTGCTGTGCTTGGCCTACTGCCCCCACGACCCGGCTTCGGATTAACGGTTGAAAATGGATGATGATGGTTGGAATAAGAATCATTGTGTCACTCACCTTACAATGAGCCGTTTATATCTAAATACAGAGGGGTCCTCTTCCACAGAGTTAGCCATGTTGTTTCTACAGTAGCCCTGAACGGACAAACCAAACACGGGCTCTAGATGGGTCGATAGGTCACACATTTTTGCATCAGCCACTGTAGTTCTCCGACACAATTGGCACACAGACGTTTCAGTTCTGTAACCTCATCACTAGATGCCATTAAATATAGCACACTAGACCTTAAAGACTGTGGGAGGATGGGAGACATTTTTTATCAAACCAAACCATCATTTGCAAAACGATTTGAGCTGCTTTTCCATCATGGCTTTACAGCACATACGGTCCAGTAACTGCCTGCTACAAGAGAAAATATCTATCTATGTCCATTTGGGGGCGCTGTCACCCAGCTCTTCCGTCAGCCCGACTCTGTGGCATTTCATTAACATGTGACACAAGGACCCATTATCCATTATCCTGCATCTTTGCAAAGACAAACCTGCTCCTGCGCAGCTGAGTCACTCAGCTCAGGCTGCTGTATTGTGTTGTGTCGTCTGAGAGGCTGCATCCATGTGAGATGCAGAGGAATGAAGCTGGCACAGCGCCAACTGCAGTCTGCACACCGCACTCCTCAAATCACGCCTCGCTGGCTTCCCCTCTAATTGGCTCCACACAAGCCACCGTGGAGAGCTCACCTGTTTTAATTGGACTATCGCGACAAGTTGTCAAAGTGACGTCGATGCGACTGCTCGGACACTTTGTCAAAGGGATATCACAGAGAGAATAACACAGGACCTCAGTTGGGCACCGAAAAGGACTGCAGCAGCCGCACGACCGAGGGAAGTGCTGCCACCAGGCCAACCACACCAGACAGGCTGTGAATGGATGCAGGACAGAGACACAGGCTGAGCGTGTCGATATGGACCAGCGATAACAGCCTGCTGTCATAAACCAAATGCTTTGGGTGCTTCATCTTTGATCTCCTACTTCCACAGAAGCGCACGGACATTGACTTTTTTTACGCGCAGGTAAAAACTCCACAATCGGCTGTTTTTCCTCTCTTGAAGGCAGTGCTGGAGGCAGGAGCTGCTCCATCCTTATTCCTGGCATCGGCTGGCACGCTGACACCATCAGCATTGAAGCTTGTTTTTTGCGCAAGTGGTCGGTGCGCCCCTGCTTTTGGAGCCATGGGTTGTACGGTGAGCGCCGAGGATAAGGCTGCCGCGGAGAGGTCAAAGATGATTGACAAAAACCTCCGAGAGGACGGAGAGAAGGCAGCCAGAGAAGTCAAGCTGCTTTTATTAGGTAGGTAACAGCTGGTGCTGGCTCCTCATGTCATATTGAGAAAGCAGAAAGGCATGTTAGTTGCTGCGGATTAGAAACATCTCCACAGTACATACACAGACCACCTGATTAAACATTAAAACAGGATCTGATGAATAACCAAGCAGCTCAACAAGATGCTGTCGAGGAAATGTGAATTAAAGTTTAGATCCGACCAAGCATCAAATCATAAACTACCTCACAGAGCCATTAAAGCGCCTTGAGATCCTCCAAAAAGCCAAGACCTGGGCAAATCATTTGAGCTAAAACCTATTACAAGTCACACTTAAAACACAGCCCCTACATAGTCAACAGTGCTGTGCTCAGACATTTTGCGGGGCAGGTGCTCAAGTGGGAAAAAAAGGCATCCCCTCCTCATGTTGTTTCTTGCATGCGAGAAGTATTAAAAAAAAGTGTGCAAGTTTGTATCTGCAGGCACTAGAAGGTTTCTTGGGTACATACAGTACAGTTGTCCACAGTAATGAGCAGGAGCAGAAACATCTGTCCAGCTCACTAATGAGGTGTCTAAATATCTATACTGTATACACCTAGCAGCTGATACACATATACAGTTACTTTCCACATTTATCATTTATTCAATACAGGAAACAACATAGAAAACAATACTACATTGTGCACACTTACAGGATATAAAGTAAATAATAACAATCAGGCTAAGTGCATTCTCCTCTCCTCTCCTAACTGTATTCTCCACTTTGCTCCTTTGTCCTCATCCTCCTAATTTGTTTGCCTCCTTTGCTTTTTAAATAGTCATATAATAATTATTGTAATTATCTTTTAAATAACCTTTAAATATTTTTTAAGGATTTCAGTAAGCAGATGTGTGGAGTTCCGCGGTCCTCCTCTCTGCCTGTCATTTTTGCTTAAATTAATAATCAGAGACACAACGTGGGAGACGTAAATATCATTTCAAATTGAGTTTTGGTTTAAAAAGACAAGTGGAAGTGGGAAAGCAATGTGACGTCTGTCTCTGCTCGTACTGGGCAGTTGGTGAACCAGAATCTTCCAGAGAGAGTTGGAGGGAGAGGGTGTGGTTTTACGGCACACTAGTCTACTTGTCGTTAAGCGTAATGGTGGGTTATTGCCTAAATTAGACTGGCTGTATTGAGATGTTTTAATAGTGGTTTGATTTCACAACAGTGAGAAACAATGCCGACGCTTAGGACAAACACTGTTACCTGGCTGTCCATGAAGACAGGTCAGGGAGACGTGATGCTGCTCCGCAGGGTACTCGATTTGCATGCAGCTGCCACAAGTGATGTTAAATAGGGAGGAGCAGAGGTCTGACTCAAATACAGTTGTCGGGCGCACAGCAAAATTTTAATCAAGAATTGATGCCAAGGGCCAAATTTAAAAACAAAAATATAAAGCTATAAAATACATTTAAAAAAAAAAAAAATGTAAAATGCAAAAAGGGTACCTACCTAGTGAGAGGGCAAAAGAGCAGGTGCTTGTATATGTTTATATACATATATATACACTTTGTTCTTTGCCATATGGTTCCCTTTTGCATCATGTCCTTTTTTGTCGGGTCATATCCTATCCTTTGAAGACAGGTAAGATTCAGGTCCTTCCAGTCAGGCTAAAACACTAACATATGCATCAAACTTTAACCAGATAAGCAAAGGGACCAGACAAGTACCATGTGCAGCTTTAAGAGGAAACAGACAAATACAGTATTTACTTAAGTCTATTTAAAGATATTGTTGCTGCTAATAGGTTCCACTTTAGTCTGTACATGCTTATTCGCACATGTGTGCTCACACTAATAATACACAGGTTGCTTCATGGCAACACGAGACAATGAGGAGGGGCCCCAAACCAAATCTGCTAAGGGCCCCCAAAAGTGTCGGGCTGGCCCTGATTTTTACACCATTTTCACTGTATGTTAGGGGTGGGAATCACCAGAGGATCCACGATACGATATTATCACGATACTTATGTCATGATACGATATAATTGTGATTTTAAATATGTTGCGATATGCTGAATATTGCAATCAAATATATTGCGATACATTATTTATATACTGTATCGATTTTTTGTGCTGCTGTATATACTGTCATATCCATCAACCTTACCCATTCCATATTTATGCCAGCTCCCACTGCACTCTGCACCATAATTTACTTCTGTACGTAGTTACATTTGTTTTAAATTTGTTCAGCTTTGTTGTGACTGTTTTTAGATGTATGTATTTTGTGTGTGTTTACGCTGAGAGCAACAAAAACCAGAGTCAGATTCCTTGTACGTGTCCACACTTAACTGGCTGTTAAAGCTGATTCTGATCCTGACAAGTTCTTGGAGATTAGTCAGATATCATCGTGTTAACATGCCGCACAGCTTCTCAGAACTTTGAGCTGGCATTTTGCCCGGGGAGCTTAATTCAATATATCAAAACCTGTGGACTACGACTAAACATTAACACGGCTACACTTCAGCACCTCTCGGTTAAATACACAGCAGTCTGTTCTCACAAAGAAATACAGCGGAAACAATCCCTGTTTGTCTGCTGACAATAAAAGAAGCCGCTATTATTAAATAGATTCTGGAGCTGGAAAAACACACTCCCCCCCCCTTCCTTCTTCGGCATTTCACTCGACTCGCATGTGCGCACACACACACACACACACACACACACACACACACAAACTACAAACACACACCCTCCCACTCACTACCACGTTCTCACTTCTCCTCTTATCCGATTCAGCTGTCTTTGTTTGACATCATCTTGCTCTTGATTTGTCTTTCTCCTTCCTGTCGTTTAAATATGCACACAGCTCAACTGACAGCTGACCTGGAGTACTATCTAAAACTCAGGGAGGGCGCCTGTGTGTGTGTTTGTGCTGGGGGAGTGCAGAGAGATGAGGTGGGTGTGGTTGGAGTGGGATGGGTGTCATCTTGCTGTGACAAGCTGTTAATAGAGGACTGGATAAGTGCTGCAGAGTTGCTAGTTGCTATGTTTAAAGGTTTTTTTGACTGGACTTATACTCACTTATTAATTATCAGCTGTAGAAAGAATTATCATTAGTAATACTGAGTTTTGTTCAAAGGAACACCAAAAGCTCCTTATATATTTGTAGTTTTAATGCCATATGTTCTCTCCTTTAATACAAACTTCTATTATTGAAGCATTTTCCAAAGATAAAAAGCATCTCTTGGTTAAACCTGTAATATTTTGCCCTGTTTTACTCTACTGTAAATCCATGAATGGGTCCACCTTGTTTGCCTTAATGTGCTCTTCTTCACACACAGACACACACTTTTAAATGAGATGTGTATCTTTAAAACATTGTGTATGATGTTGTTTACAGAGGCTTGAAAGTGACAGTTGAATGACAGCAGAGCAAAAGTAACAGCAACTCATTCAGCAACAGAACAAACATTTTTTAAAGATGAAGAGAAATGTGTCTGTGTGGGTTTTCTCTGGTTTCCTCACACAGTCTGTAGACATGAAGGTTAGATCAGTTGGCAACTCTTAATGGCTTCCCTGGGTCTCATCATCACAGTATACAGTATCTCTGATAGGGCTATTACGTCAGTCGAATCAGATTTGGTTGTTTATTTTTATTCTTTTAAGATTATTTTTGGGGCATTTTTTGCCTTGGATAGGACAGATATAGCATGAAAGGGGGAGAAAGAGAGGGGATGACGCACAGCAAAGGGCCGCAGGCTGGGATTGCACTGGGGCCGCAGCAGCAAGAACAGAGCCTTTGTACATGGTGTGCCTGCTCTATCCACTCAGCCACCGATGCCCCATCAGATTTGGTGGCGTCGGTTAAATACAAATATTCGACTTGTTTACTTTTTTCAGGAAAAGCAGTATGTCTAAAAGTAATTCCTTTTTAAAAGCTCTGTGAATGTTTTTTGTAAATGAAACCTTCATATAACAGTGTTGCCAATAAAACCTTTAAGGAAGTCACTTATCAGGTTTGTCATGTATTTTCACACATTAAACAAATACATGATACAGATATTATTGTTAATCAGTGAGAGGTGTTGACAGGTGGATTTTGTTACCTTTGGGCAGAGCCAGGTTAGCTGTTTCCCCCTGTTTCCAGTCTTTATGCTAAGCTAAGCTAACCTGCTGCTGGTCACGGTCATCTCGGCATTAGAGGTGCACTGATCCAGCTTTTTGCAGTTTCGATACTGATCCCGATGCTGTGGCTTTGAGTATCAGCCGATACCCGATGCCGATCTGATACCATGGTTGGCCTAAAAAGCTATATACCTTTACATGTACAACAGAAAAGACGAGAGGCATCAGGCATTGATGACTACACAGTTCTTTCCGAAGATAAAATGAAACAAGATGAAACAGATTAATGCAACGATGAACTATTTATTTTTAACAAAAATGAACGATTGTGCAACAGCAGTTGAAATAGTGTGAAATACCCCCACACAGCAGATTCTCTCCTTCGCTCCATGACATATGACGTAGCTCGTGTCGCAATAGTTTTAAAGGGAAAGGATTGTCTCAGGTATAGGTTGCATTTTCCGATATCCAATCCATGTATTTTGATGATATTGGGGCCGATATTCGATCGAGATATCAGATCGGTGCATCCCTACTCAGCATGCGAAGGAGTGTTTCCCAAAATGTTAAACTGTTCCTTAAACAAACTGGAATACAAAAATGTCAGTGATTCAGAAAAGCTTGTACTCTCGTCAGTCTTCATTTTGATGAATAATGATAACAATTTGAAAAATTGAAGAGCCTCAGTTGTTCTTCTTGAGTATATAAGTTAAATAACAATAGAAATGTGATCAGAGAAGCATTTGGCACAGCCCCTGTTCATGGAAAGAGATATCCCAAAATCTTGACACATCATCCAGCCTTATACAGTGTTATCTCCCACGTCATACAGAACTGTGTGTAATCGCGCCACCTTAGCGAATCAAAACAATGGTTATGTAACCCTTGATCCAATCTCTTTAACACTGAAGTGTGAACA